GACAGGGTCTCACTATGCAGTTCAGGCTGGCCTTGAGCTCCCTTTGTAGCCCATGCTGGTCTCGAACTCACAGTGATCCTCCTGCCTCAGCTCCGGAGTGCTGGGATTACAGGCATGTGCCTGTAATGTTTGTTAAAATCCTGAGAGTAGTCTTGAAGCATGTGCCCATACCTAAGTAGATGTCACGTTGCGACTGTGCTCCCCGTCTTTCCATGCTGCCATGTTATCCTACATTCTACATTCCAGGAGCCCTCTTTGCTCTGGTCAGGAGCACACACTGCCTGCTTACCTTGGACTTCCGGATAGAGGACCATGTACAGCAGACCCCAGCGCAGTGTCGTGGATGTCGTTTCGGTCCCAGCGAAAAAGAGGTCCAGGGTGCTGCAGATGAGGTTTTCTTCATCAAAACTTGAGGTGGTCTTGTCTGGGTGCTAGAAAGGACAGTCTTTACTGAAAGTTCATTCAGAGAATCTGTGTTTGCCACCATACCCAGCAAAAAGTTTCAAGGAAACGGCAAAGAGAAGCTATAATGCTTATGACTTTCTCAGGAAGCAGCAATACCATTAGTGTCCACCTGCCTGTACTGCTGGAAGTTAAATGAAATTCTCCAGGATTCAGTGTGTGAAAAAAGTTCAACTGAGACCACACAGACCTGTGCATAGGCCTTGCCAAAGTGAGCAAACAGACCACAGACAATCCACCCATAGCATCCACCAACTTCTAGCTGGGGCACCAGAAGATTGGACTTATTGACCAATCTGATCCAGGATGAAGACAATGCCCTAAGAGAGAAGGGAGCAACAAGACCAAAAGTCCACTTGAACCCCAGCCCCTCAGCCTACTTCTAACAGAGACCAGAGGAATGATAACTTTTTGCATCTACCAGTGTAAGCAAGGACACACCTTGGTTTGAATGGTAACCAAAGTTTGGGGAGAACAGACAGAGGGACTTCTGCACAGAAGGCACCTCAAAAACAAATAGGCCTAAAACTAGGTGGAGAAAATCCTGACTGCCTGGATTCTAATACTGCAGATTTTGGAAAGAAACCATCATTTAGAAACAGCAGAATTTGTTCTTAGACTTACTCATTGAATTTTTTTTCTCTTTAATTATTCTCTTTCAGTTTGTTTTCTGGGGGGGGGGGTGCGGTTTCTAAAAACCTTTCTTTCTTTAGTTTCTTTTTTCTCTTATCCTCTCCCAACTTTTTTTCTCTATCTTTCATTTCCTGATTTTTTTCTCTCTGGTTTTTAAAAATGTTATTTTATTTTTCTTCTGTTCACTCTTTCCTATGACTGCTTTCTAACACTATGAATTTCCTTTTACTCCTCAAGAGAATGTCCTATCTCCCTTTTCTCTCCTTTATCTCATATCACACTGACTTTTAAAATATTACTCTTCTTCATTCTCCAGATCTGCACACTCTCAATGTGGTTTGTGTCTAGATGTCCCCTCAAAGCCTTCTGAAGTTATAGGCAGGGATTTTTAGAGGTGGCTGAATCTACAGTGTGTGACATGGGGGTTGATTCATGGTGCAGTGCTAGGATCCAAGGCACTAGTATTAAGGTTATGAGTGCTACCTGCCTTAAGTAGCCTGGATAAGATAAAAGGGGCAGAAAGAGCTGTGGTCATTCCTTGCTTATTTTGCTACTTTCTCCTTGCCATGAATTAGTCTCCTCTGCAAAGCCATCCTTCCTTGGAGCCAGTTGATTATGGACTGAGGCGTCTAAAAATAAACTTTTCCTCACTTAACTTGTGAATAATGGATATGTTGTCTCAGCCATGAGAAAAGAAACTAATACATTCCCCTTTTCTAGTATAACAATTAAGCTTTATGAACCTCTGGAAAGCTAGTGAAATTTATGCTGCTATTTTTGAGTATTGTTTTGATGTGAGAAGAAGGAAAATATAGTAGATGTCCAGGATATATTTAATGTGTATCAATACTAGGTTAATATTTGGTTTGTCTTAATGTTCACATTATAGTTCGCTTTTCTAGAGTTAAAGACAGTACATTAATGGTCCTTAGGGTTTGTCTTTAAAGCTATTACTTTTGCTGATTTTAATACTATAGATAAGGTGACATAGTTGATGCTGTTCTCAGGATACTAATGTCTGGATTGCCTAGGGGTCATCCTTAACAATACTGTGGCCCACCCCGCGCCTTGCGCCCAGGCAGC